TCAAATCTTCTTTTTCTGTCTCAGGAACCCCCTGGAACCTGAGAATCATATTAGCCTTTTCCATTTGCAGCTGCAACAAACGATTTTCTTGGAGATTTTGTTTCGTTTCAACTTCACCCATTCTTTTCTTCGTCTTCTTGCTTGAGGTGTCCATCTCTGTAACTTTCTCAGCCACCAGCTCTACTTTTTTTCCCATTTCTGCCAACTGACGCTGTTGTAAAGCGAAGTTTTGATTTAACGAGGTCAGTTGCTGGTTAATACCATCGAGCTGATTCATCACTGGCTTGAGCATATCCACTAACAGCTTCATGATGTCAGTTCCCTCGTTGGGCCTTGGACTCTGACTACCAGGCTTCGCTTTAAACTTTCCTCAAGGCGCCGCCATTTTTCAACTTTGTTTACACTTTCAAACCGTTTCTCCCAGGCTCGAAGTGTCAGTATTAGGCGGTGTAAGCCCACAGCAGACCAAACATGGGTGCAAGGATATCCAATAAAGACTGGAGTCTCTCAGGCTTATGTAAAAATAATATACAGTTTATTATACAAGCCTCTCACCAAATCTTTATACTGAGCGACGTAATGCTCCGCTGAGACTCGCATTCCAAGAAGGAATGAATACTACAGTTCCTCACTGAATATATACAACCACTGGCCAATCACAGCCAATGCTGAGTCACTGTGACTCAGTGCTAATTAGCTCTAGCAACACCAGCTGGAACTAGTTTGAGCCAGCTCCTGTAACACTTAGAGCTGTCAGTTAGATGCCTATGATCTACAGCATGACTTAACTATAACATGGAATACTGACATGAAGCAATCGTCAATTTGCTTTTTGCACGCAAGTAAGACTCTCAAAATACACACACTGTCTTTTTCCTCCCACTCCCCCTTCGCTGTGATTTATCTGTCCATGCGCTTCAGAGGCGTCCCTCTTTGCGCTCCGCTTTTCCCAGGGGGGGTGTGCCGTTTATCAAAGTTCGTTTACTTAGAACTCACGTTCATTGTTGGTCATCTTGCTGACCTCGCTTACATCAATCGTTCTGCTCGGCCTCCCCCGCTTGTCCCGGTCGGGTTAGTTTGTGCCCTAAGGCCACTCATCGGCAGGACCGTCAGAGCAGAGGGAAGCCTCGATTCTCCAGTAGAAAGCCGTCAAAGAGGTGGCACTCCTCCATGCTGTGTGCTAATTGCCTCCCCAAGCTCTGGGGAGAGTGACTGCCATTGCCAATCCATAGACCAGAAGTCTCTATGGCCAGGCCTTTATGGTGGTGACTGACCACAAACCCCTCTTGGGCCTGCTCGCCCCAGACCACCAGGCCCTGCAGATGCTGTCCCCCAGGGTGCTGCGCTGGTCCATCTTCCTGGCAGGGTACCAATACAAGCTCATCCACCACCCCAGCAAAGCGA